TTGGTTAATTATATTAATTCTGTGTGAATTCTTGTAGTTTCTGTGTGAAACTTATAATATTCTGTGTGAATATTAGTTGACTCAGTGTCATATTGTTTAAACCCCATATCCCTTTAAAAACCTCACACCTTAGCCTCTTTCGAACAAACCCGCAATCTCAAATCCTTTACCCCTTATACCTCTTCAAGTATAAAACCTTTCAACTGTAACATATTCGTCCAATTGCTTTGTGATCTTTTGGACAATAGTTTTCCTGTTATCAGTTGTTAGTTAATCGTGTTTAGTAAAGGTAATCACGGTCAACAACATTAAATAATAATATAATAAAAATAGATAAAATTAATATTCTATAATATGATCAAATTGTATTTTATGAAAATAAGGATACTTCAACAAAAGGTTATATTTTACTTGAAGATAATGATAGGTAATATAAATTAACTTTTATTTGAAAACAAAAAGAATGAAAAATAATAATAAACTTTTTTTAACTAGAATTTTATCAATTAATTTTATTATTAATTCTGGTGAATTTGTAAATGAGTAAGTATAATTATATTGATTATATATAATGTATTTAAATATTTTGAATTGTTGATTAATTAATTAATTTAATTATCTTTAGTAAAAAAAATCAAATATTATCATTTGTTCAAGAATCATCATCAAATGGTAATCATACTTTACATACAATTAATAAATATTATTTTTATAATGTATCATCTATTCTTTCTCGATCAAATAGAAATAATAATAAAACTTTTACTAAACTACATTATAGATATATTTATCCTATTCCTAACTTAAAAATATTTCTTCAAACAGTAAATAATTTAAAAAAATATTATATAAACAATAAATGTATTTAATAAAATACAATTATATATTACATTTAAAAATTTAATAAAAAAAAGTAAATAAAATTGTTTAATTATTTTTATTTTTTTTATTTTTTTTTTTGTGTTCCAGCAAGGTCTTGCTTCAAATTTATTAATTAGAAAAAGAGAAAGTTTTTTACATTATATAGGATTATATAATACAAAATACACAATTTATTCTAATATTTATTTAAAAAGATGAGACTTGAACTAACTCATAAAAAACAGGCTCACAACCTATCACCTGACAAGTAAACTTGTCCTTAATTATTTTTATTATTTTATATTATTTATTAAATTGTATTAATATTATTAATATTATATTATTTACATATATTAATATTTTTGCATATAATTTTATTTGAATATTATTAATTAAGTAAAATATTTGTTGGTTTTCATAAACAACTGTTTTGTTTTTTTTATTTTCACCCATTATTGTTTCTTCATAAAATAATAGTATCTAATATATAATAACAATATTAGTAATTATAATATTTAATAAAATAAAAATTAAAAAAAAAATACCTGACAATGATTTTTTTTTTCAATACTACTTATTGAAAATAATTTAAATGATAAGTTTTTTCTTTTAACCGATACATGAAAAAATATATATGTTTATTAATATATGTATATATGATGTAATATTTTTTACTTTGTATATTCCAGGAATTTCTATTGTAGTATTTATTTGTTCTCTTGAAGATTGACTAAATGTTTTTATCTAATTTTCAAATATAAAATTTTTTTCTTCTATATAATTTGATTTTTTCATAAATTCATATAATTGATAAAATTTTTCTATAATTTTTCAATTATTATTTCATGTATTTCAGATATAAATTCACTAACAGGAAAATGTTATAACATTTTTTTTTATCTAGTCTTATAAATAATGTTCAACTTTAATTAATTCAAAATGAATTATTATAAAATAAATATTAAGTTTACTTATTTTTTTTTCAATTTTTTCTTTAATATTTTGTTCAAAATAATTTTTTTCAAATAAATATTTTAAATAAAGATTCTATTAATATGTCAAATATATATAATAAAGTATAAAGTTCATCAGGTATATAATTAAGTAAATCAATTGTAAGAAATATTGAAGATTTTTTAATTTCTAATTAATATATTTAAATTATTATATTATTAAATTACTATATTATTTAAATTTTTTAATAAAAAAAATATTAAATTATTTAACCTTTTTTATTTCTACAGTGTACACCACCTAAAATTATAATGAATTTGATAATTTTTAAAAGGTTATAGAATATGATACAGAGAAAATATCAAAAAAGGAAGTTGACATTTTGAAGCTAAGTTAATTTATTACAAACTGTTAGCCTCTTTTTAAAAAATAATTATTCATTCCTAATTTATAACATCTTAAAAATATTCAACTTTTATATGATTAATGTCTAGTAGAATAAAACATGATTTAATAATCACGTGAATTAATTTTGATTGGATAATTGTGTAATCACGTTTTTATAATTTTTTCCTTAGTGAATAAAGAATAATGATCAAATTAAAAAGTTATGTGATTTGTTGTAAAATAAGTATAAATTAATTTCTTATTTTATTTAGATTCAATTTGATTTTTAGATTGAGAAATGGAACAAATTACATAATTTCAGTTTTTAGGTGATGTGTACTGTAGTAGGTAGTTATGATAGATTTATGTTATGATGTGATTTAATATTATATTCATAAAATAAACAGAAATAGTTTGAGTTTGGAATATTTAGATCTATAATAATATATGAAAATTTTCAATTTTCAGAAAAGAAGAATTCAATTGGTCAATGATTACCATCTTCATCAATTATTCTATTCTGTTTTAAATTTGTTAATTGTAATGCAAATATTTTATTAACTTTGTTTAAAATCTCATATGTTTCTTTTATTATTATATTAAATGTTAAAATTAATTCAATATGAATAAAAAATATTTATATTGTTTACTAAGTTTAAGTATCTCTTTTCCTTCATTCAATAAATAAAAAGTAATTATCATATAATTTTGTTTTTCTTTTATATTTCTTCTATCTCCTTTAAGTTTAATGTAAAAAGTATCTTTAGGAATTATTACTGAATTATTTTTTTAAATTGATATTAATATTTTAAGTAAAGTTATAAAGAATAAAAAGTACTATTTCCTATTTTATTATTAGATACCAGAATATCATTAATAATTTTATTATTGTTATTATCAAAATTGAATTGATTAATATTTTAATCTATATTAAAAATTTCTACAGGTATCTAAGTATTTATAAGCTCATTTATTTTATTTTTATAATTAGTAACTAAATATTCACAAAAAAGATTAGGTATAACAGCTGCCAAATGTTTATAATCATTTTGATTCAAAAGTATTTTATCACATATTTTTATTATAACATTTAATCTTGTTTGAGTAATTTCTGAATTCAAATTTTTAAATTTAATTTGAACTTGATTTTCTTTATAATCAAACTTAATATAATGTATATATACAATAGATTGTCTTGATGAATTTGTTAATTTGTATTTTACAATTAATTTATCAACAGCTTTTTTATATCTTTTTCAAAATTTTTAAGTCTTTTGTATTGTTGTGAACATGAAGTAATATTTTCAAATGGTCTAATTTGTTTATTAACTTTTGTTATAATAATAGGACTTGAATTTATTTTAATTTGAATAATATATAAAGGTTTAATATTAAAATCAAAAATTCGAAATCCAGAAAGTTTAAAATTTTTTTAATTAATTTTCTAATTATAATAAAATAAATAAAATTAATTTATTATATAATTTATTGTGTCAGGATTTTAAATAAATAAATAAAATTAATATAAAATTAATTATATATTTAAAATAAAAATTAAATTACATATTTGTTTAAATGAATTAAGTTAAAATTATAAAATTAATAATATAATAATAAATTAAATCTATATAATAATATAAATTAAAAATAAAATAATAAATCATATTAATATAAATAATTTAATAATAAAAGTTAATTTTATTAATATTAATTATTAAAATGTAATTATATAATCAAATTAACTATACATTTAAAAATATATTAATAACTGCTGTAGCTAATTTTGTATTATTAATACTCCATTTAGTACATTCTTCTTTCCAATAGTATAATTTACTTTTGAATTAGATTCATGTTTTACTTCAGGTTTAACTTTTTTTTAGTAACTTCTGTTTTAATTATATAATTATTAGATATTTAATATTGGGATATATTATCACAGTTTATTTTTTGAGTTAATTTTGGTACCATGGGATAAGTTTCTAGGGCAATAACATTATAATATGAATTATATGTTCATTTTTTTGATTTATATTGAGTTTCAATTCTTGGATTTTTTAAATAATCATATATAAAAGTATGACTGGAGAAAGAATTTGCTAATAAAAGAATTTTTAGAGTATTTTAAAATAGAATAAAACAAATAAAATAAAATAATATATTTAAACAAATACCTTCTAAACTTGATTTTCTATATTTTGACCTTCTATACTCTTATTACTTATATTATGATTTTTTTTATCAATACCACTTTCTATATCTTGAACTTCTACCATTAGAATATTGATTTTCAACTAGTTTTTATGTTTTATAAACAAAAAATATTATTTTTTTCATAGTTTTAATACAAATAAGAGATAGCTTCAAAGCAAAAACTTTTTAGTTATTGGTTTATACATTTTAATATCACATAGTTGTCACGTTTTAGTCATGTGTTAAAACCAAAATTCGGGATAATCACTAAAATTTAATTAGTGATATGAGACAAATCGGCCCATATGTGTAATTTAAATCGTCATACACAACATTTTTGTGCTAAGGAAAATCGATCTAATAAAATTTTTATAACGATTATCTATGATAATCTCAGTATCACCAAAAACCTTATATTTATATTTACTGGATCTAAGATTAAGATTTGAGATGTTTTAATATCTATTATATAGATGGATCATGTTTATATAAAGCGAGAATTACTGAATGAGTATCATTTGTTTGTATTAATTGGAATTGTGAATTTTATTAATGAGAATGTTGGCAAATCGTCGTCTCTTTTCCATAATAATAAATCGTCCATCCATCATTCATTCTTCAATTAATTTCAACAAATGGAACAATTCAAACAATTCATTTAATTTTTCTACTACTGCTAGTATTCAATCTTCTAATACATCATTAAATGTTTCCCCAGCTCCTTCAGGAATTCTTCATTATTTAACACATGCAGATTTATCTAAACAACAAATTTACAATTTAATTACATTGGCTGTTCAACATAAGTACAATGTAAAATACTTGAATACTAAATCTGGACAACCTTTGTTGGGAAAAACATTGGCCATAATGTTTTCTAAAAGATCCACAAGGACCAGAGTTGCAACTGAAACGGCTGTTACGTATCTTGGTAGTACAATGATCATAATTCTTATACGAAAATCATGTGATTCCATAATATTTTCTAATTTACTGTAAATGCGTAATAGGTGGGCAACCGATGTTTTTGGGATCTCAAGATATTCAATTAGGCGTTAATGAATCATTATTAGATACTAGTAAAGTTGTTTCTAGTATGGTGGATGGTATGATGGCACGCGTTGGTTCACATTCTGAAATTGAGGTAAGAGAATAAGTAATGTTAAATTTATCTTCTATCCTTTCTCGCATATACGACCTCACGAATTTAAATAATGTAAATAATAAATAGACATTAGCGAAATATTCCACTGTTCCCGTGATCAATGCTCTTTCGGATAAATATCATCCAACACAAATTCTTGCTGATTTGATGACAATGCACGAAATATTTGGTCCTCAACCTAAAAATGATTCATCATATGTTGCACATTTAACGCATCCTCAGGAAACACTTCCAGGATTAAAGGTTGCATGGGTTGGGGATGGTAATAATATTTTACACAGTATGTTGGTAACTTTTCCAAAAATAGGTGTTCATCTATCAGTGGCCACTCCTAAAGGATATAGTCCAGCAGAAGATGTGGTGAAAATTGCGAAACATGAAGCAGCGAAGACTAATACTGAAATTAGTTTTACTCATGATCCTAAAGTGGCAGTCAATAATGCTGATGTTATCGTCACAGATACCTGGTAGAGTATCGTATATATAGTGTAATATTATAGAAATATAATTTGTTTTTAAATTGATGATACGCTAACATTGGTTAACAACAGGGTTAGTATGGGACAAGAATCCGAAAAAGTAAAACGTTTGAAAGATTTTGAAGGTTATCAAGTAACTTTATCATTAGCAAAAGAAGGTGGAGCCAAACAAAATTGGAAATTCTTACACTGCCTTCCTAGAAAACAAGAAGAAGTATCCGATGAGGTATTATTAATACTTTGATTTTCTTTAAATTCAATATAAAAAATCGAAATGGTTCATTTGATATAATCAATTATTGTTTATATCATAGGTATTTTACTCACCTATATCTCACGTATTCCAAGAAGCTGAAAATCGTAAATGGACAATTCTCGCTGTATTAGATGCATTACTTGTTAGAAAGAGTTTTGATTGAGATTGATATCCGTAAATTAAGATTAATTAATCACGTATTATCTTAAATTAACATTTTCACTTTACAAAAATTTTTAAAATTTATTAAAGTTATTTTTAATGCATTTCTTTATATAATTAATTATAAAGAATCATTTATAAAAAAATACATTATTTTGTGAGAATGAATAGATGATATGAAAAAAAAGATGTATTTGTATATCAAAGAAAAAGAAATAAAAAAAATAAATGTTCGTTTCCTCTAACATTTCTTAATTTTGAGGTTCCTTTTCTCTAATTTTATATATATATACAAAATTAATATTAAAACCTATCTAATATGTATATTTTTTTTGATAAAGTAAACACCGATTATCGTTTTTTTTTATTGTTCGTTATCATCACGTTACTTGGCTTGAACTTGATTCTTTGGATTTTCAGTTCTATTATAATATTTGATAGTGGTATTAGTTTTAAAAATCAAATTAATAACAATAAATAATTATTGTAAATAAATCCGAATAATATAACTTACGAATCTTTCCAACGTTGAGCCACTATTTTGAATGCATCTTTATGACGTACGTTTGGGTTTTCAGCTTTGACTTTTACAATCTCGGATTTCATATACAAGTTATATGGTGAAAGTTTCTTGGCTAATTATTATTATGAACCAAAAATATAAATATATAAATAAATATTATAAATGCACATAACCAAAACACTATTCATTACATATTAAAAGAAAAAATTTACCTGTGCCAGATCTCTTTGTAGTCTTTTCTTTGGCCATTTTTCAATAATAATAATAATAATTTTGCGAGAAAAAATTAAAGTTTCTAGTTATGTAATAAAACAATTTATGAGGGAGATTTTTAAATTTGCAAAAGTTTAGTGATATGAGAAAAGATATAACAAAGGTAAAAAAGTGATCTTTTTATAACGATTCAAAAAGATCGTGATCTTATTTAGATAAACAAAAATTGCTTTTAAAAATAAAAACAAAAACAAAATAAATAAATAACAAACAAATAATTACTTATAAATAAATAAAAATACGAAACAAAAACTTTTACGCGATATCTAGAGTCACGTTCTCACGTGTTCCTAACCTGTTGTATATATTTTGTTAGATTTACGCGTATTTTTATTTTATTTTTCGTGTAGTCATTAAATTTTTGTGTTTCTATTAATATCGAATAAAACTCCGTTATTTCCTTATTTCTCTCGAGAAAAGTCCAACAACAAAGAAATTAAATTAAAGCAAACTTTAATTAAAATAATTAAAAATATTAAAATTATTAAAATTGAATTTTTTTTTTTTTAGCTTTTAATTTAACAAATGGAGTATGGAGTGATTAATTGTATAAATTCATTTGTCCAAAGAATGATTGTAAAGTTCCCAATATTATTATTAAATACTATTAAATATTATAAAACATTATTTGTAAATATTATAAAAATTATATGCAATTGATTGATAATTAATTAAACAAGTGTTATCTATCTGGGGACTTTAGGAGGTGATAAAATTTATTTTTCCCTTTTTTTTTTTTAAAAAAAATGTTTTTTATTAAATTTTCATGAAAAATTTCATGAATCATCCTCTTCTCCAAGATGAAATGTTCCTTTCCTCACTATTTCTCTTTGTTTTCTGAGCCATTTTCGATAATCTTGTACTGATTTGATTTTCTCACCATAATAATCTGGAGCTGGATTTCGGAGTGTATGTAGTGATGGATCTGCTCTATTTTTCTTTACATGTTCAAAGAATTCACGGTCACGCTATTTATTGTACGAGGTAATTTAATCATTATTTAATCATTATTATTTGATATCCATTTAAATCATTTTTTATAATATTTAAATCTTAAAAAATTTTTTTTTCTTCTGGCAAAACAATCTTTCGCATCTAAAGTGTAAACGTTATATTTCACCCACCTGTTCCATCAATTTTACTTCCTCTCTATGGAATAATTTCCAAATTGAGCTTCCAACAATTGGTCCAACTAATAGACCAGTAAAACCACAAAGAATAGTACCGATACCATATATAAGAAAAGGTTCTTGTCCTAATATTGGTGTTGGATCAAATTCCCGTGTAGCAACGTATCCAATACTTAAACCAAATCCACCAATCGTAGTAGGAATAGTAATAATACGTTCAGATAACCTCCGTCGACGTCTTAACGCAAAATAATCGTTCCAAGTAAGTTTACCGTCAGGTGTAAGTTGAAGTTTACTTTTTCGACCCTCTTGTGTATTCAAATTCTTTTCATTATTCATAGAATAGTAACGATTAAAATTATAACCTCTCTGTAATGAAGATAATTCTCCAATATTATGTTTTTTTCGAAGTAAAAATAATGTAGCTCTCGTTAAATTCATTATTATTCTACTGACAGCACACAAAATTAGTAGAGATATGGAATAATAAAATCAATGCTACATCATTATCTCAAAAAAAAAACTGATTTGAATCGCCAATCGAATATTTTCGATTTGTGATACGACCATCAAAATTTTTCTTCCTATCATAATTGATTTTTTGACTTCCATTGACGCCATGTGATTAATATTTATACTATGATTGGTGGTACAAGTTAAAAATTCAAGTGACTCGGAGGAAATATATGAATTTTTTCAAGAAATAAAACCACTGGTTTGTCAAAGTTCTTATATAACTTTTTAAATGATGATATTATGTATAAAGTAAACGAGCTGTATGAATTTAATTTGGTTGCTCTCTATACTGTTCCGATGTCATAAAATAAACTATTAGTTCAATAAGACAAGTGTTTATATATTTTAGTTTGAATATTAATATAATACTAGTTAATATTCTTGCGCAATAATTTAAATTTACATTTAGTAAGCCAACCATTAATCTTAAATAATATGCCAATCTTGCTTATATCACATGCAATATGTAAAAAAGGAGATATATGTTGAACTTTAAAAAGTACTTTGTCACATATAAACGCAATTTATTATTTGCGAGGTAGCTACAAAATTATCTGGTAAATTTAAAAAGCATTTAAAATAAGTGGCTCGAAAAATATGAAAAACCAACAGAAAAAAGTTTTGTTCACCCGTATGCTATTATTTTCGGTTTACTACATTCTTATCCCCAAAGAGAAAGGTATTTTATATTCAACTTTATTTAATTCTAACTCCATTGCGTATAATTGACTATGGTTCACGATCGATAAAAAAAATAATGTATACAAGATTGACATAAAATAATTTTACATGTCGAGTTTGATTAAGTCACCGTAATTCAAGTCATTTGCTGCTTTATAGATTTTTTTCCAAAAAATCTGATTTGCTATGAGAGAACCATAAGTTCAATACATTTTTGCCTGTGACTCGAAGTCAGTTTTCCCATCAAAGATAATCCTTTCCATTACTGCATTCACTGGACTGTGAAGCAATAAGTAAAACGACCTTACCAAACATATCAAGTCAATATTTGGTGAATATGTAATTTGTTCACAGTTGATCAATGATTTTAAGGGCACGCATTCAAGTGTTCCAGCAAATTTCCCACTTTCATTTTTTGATACGCTATATCCCCAATCGATAATCAAAATTTTTTCATCATCATCACGAATAAAGTTATATCTCCGAAGATCCATATGTACGATATTTCTTGAATGTGCCGTTCTTAGAGTTTCAATGATATTTCCGATATCCTCCTTTTGTAAATTTTTACTTTCGTACCAAGAGGACTAATGACAAGGGATTTCTTGTTATATAGGAGTAGTTTTGGAATATGAGGTAAATCTCAAAGATTTTCTAGCAAATTTTTTCCCTTTCAAAACAAGATGAATAATTTTCATTTTTTCGCCAATTTTACAACCACAGAATCCATGTTAGTAAGCTTCCCTTCATACACAATGCTAGTTCTGTCTGTATTGATGGGTCGAACTAGCTTTACAGTATCAGAGTTGAATTCAACTGATGGAAAGATCTTCCCGAATACATTCCAGAATTGTTACTAGATATCGCCAACCAACTTGAGTTGTACCCTTGGCTTCATAATGTATTTTTTCGGGTGATACGTATTCATACTATTGTCTTTTTTATAGTTACACCTGATCACTTTATAAATTAAAATAAGTCTACAATCTGTTAACACCACGTATACATGGGTTCGCCGAGAGAACCTTTTCTCCAAATGATACTGCCTGTCCTATATCTGCATTACTGAATTGATTGTTAGGTTTCTTTATTTCTCCAACGGCTACGACATGCAATGCATCTAGAGGACACCCTTTTGCGATGAATACAAAGTTCGGTTTTCGAGTAGTCAGTAGTGGAATAGAATGTACGTCTTCAATTACGAGTTTTGATTTCTCAGATGTTTGTAATGGTTTGCATTCATTAATAAAATATTCTTGCAATATTTTTTCTGAGACGTCAGGCCCAGGTGGATTTTTAAACCTTCCGTATCCTTTTTTTTGCAAGTCATGGTCAGTTTAAATGGGAACTTAATACAAGTACCATTTGATTTTACAAAGAAACCCTTTTCGGTTTCCGTTTCAAGACCTAAATATAAATGTAAAATGTTGTTTGCAGGCGGATGGATTGGATTATTGATTGGATGAACAGGTACCTGGAGCACTAACCCATGCTATCTCACTCCGAAGTCGCATTCTCTTCATTTCATGATTCATTCCTTCTAATTTATTATTCGTTCCTTCCACTTTAACATTCATTTCTTCCACTTTATTACTTATTCCTTCCACTTTATCACTCATTCCTTCCATTTTTTGATCGATTTCATCGAAACGTCTCTTAAGATATGTTTCTGTGAACAAAACAAAGATATTAGGATATGTAATTGATATTATTAAATCCGATTAAAATACTATATCAGAAAAAGTTACCTTTCTTTTGTTCACCTAAGCGAGAAAAAATTCAACAAATTGTTAGTTAATAACGGTTTAGTGATCAAATAAAATATTGGTTAAATAAAGTTATTGCGGAGAAAGCAGTATAGGTTTAGAATATTCGAATGCAATCGTGATACTTACCCTGAACTTCGCCTGAAATTTCTTTTACCAACTCTACTATTATTTCTGCCGGCTCTAGTTTTAGCCCCATGAGCTTTTTTAGAGTTGATTTGAGGAAAGCACTACCAAAGACCTTATTCTCTGATTATATTTATGTCGTCGTCGCAAAGGTGAACTCCATCTTTTTTAGTCTGTAAATAAGAAATAACTTGAGATCGTTCCAAATATTAACTTCTTCGACCGACGGAATAGACATGTTTAGTTCACTTATTTAACTTGAATCAGTAAATAAATAAGAATTTTTTAAATTTATTCACAAAAAAAAACTATATTTGAAAGTTTATTACGATTTTTTGTGATTTTAAATAATAACTATTTTTCAAACCAAAGATATTGTTTCTCTAAATTTATCTCAAGATAATAATTGATCATATAATTTTTTGGGGTTTTAAGAGTAAAATAATTTAATACAAAATATGCGTACTGCGCGTGTCCAAATTTTCTAAAATTATTATTATCAAGAATTATTCTTATTTAATAATCAAAGTGGATTTATAATAAATAAAAAAAAAATGTAATTTTAACACTTAATAAATTTTCTTAATGTTTAAGATTATGTTTTTTTAACGCGTCTGCGTTATGGCGTGTTGGTTGAATTTCATAATTTTTATCATATGACTAAATGCAAGGGCTAGGATTAAAATTTGAATATCAAATTTTTATTATAATTTTTAGCACGTGAAAACCATATTTGTCACCCATAAACCCCATGCGCCAAAACGCAGGTGCGTTAAAAAAACAAAACCCTTATGAAAGTAAAAATATTTTTATTAAAAAAAAAAAGGAGCCAAAAAGAAACGAACATTTTTATGTGTTACATATGATTGATTGTCGCGCAGCCGATATATATAAATTACGGCATATAAATAAATTACGACCATTACGGCATTATGACATTACGGAATTAATTTTTGCTTTGCCGAAATAGTTACGGCTTAGCCGAAATGCCGTAACCGTTTGTAATTCCTGAATTTCGACGGCATATATAGTCATTATCAAGTTTTGATAAAGATTGAATAAGATTTAAGGGGTCACTTGTTGATAATAGGAGGCAGGATCAGGGGGGTATGGAATTCCGGTTTGATGGGGATAATATGCCAAAACATTCTGATCCGTGAACATTTGGTCCGACGTCTAAGAGATTATGAAATATTATAAAATATTATATATATATTTTAAACAAAATTATTAAAGAGGTATATAAAAAAGGTTACACTTACGGGTTCTTCTTTTGGTCTTCTATTTACGGTTTTAGGTACTTCCTCTCTTGGAACGATATCAATTAAAAAATCGAATTGATCTGATCGACTAACAGCTGATGCAACATCACTACGCTGTAATGTACGACGTTTGTTTTCTTCAGCATGAGTCCACGCTCGCATTGTAATTTCTGATATAAAAATTTCACATGCTTTAGAGAACAAAATTGGTGCCTAAAGAATCAAGAATAGTTCGAAAAAATGAATATTTTAATCATTGTTACTGATGTAAATAAATAATTTTAAAATCTTGAACTAACCTCGGCGCTAATCATCTTTTTTATTTAAAAAAATTTTTTTTTAATTTTAATTTTTTACATAAATACATAGAACTTTATTATATTATAAAATTAATAAAATTGTTAAAGACGTACTTTAACATCTTGATCACTTTTCATAACTTTTTTAATTCTGGCGAGGGGTAAAGGATGGTTTTTGAAGTCACTTTCAAACTGTTCCGCTAGTGAAAGTTGTTTGTTCCAGAACTAGTTTAAAACATAATATTTTATTTTAAAATTAAAAATTTACGTAAAAAAAAAGATTATAAAATTCAAATAATTTTAGTAAAACATTAATAAAGCACGGTCATTTTCTTTTTATTGACAAACCTCAGTTATAAATTCTTGGTTATGTTGTTGTTGCATCAGTTGCTGTTGTGTTGCGGTAGTTACAGTAGCTGTAGAAGTTGAAGTAGCATTTGTGGTAAGAATGTTTTGGTCAACAGTTTGGGGTGCTTGTTCTGCCATGGATTTCCGATTTTTTGATTTAAGACTTAAGGTTGACAAGGAAAAATGAAGGAAAGACATCTAGTTTCGTTTTTGCTTTTTGAATAATAGACATATGCAAATTTAGAAATCAGGTGATTTGTGATCCGTCATACCAAAATAATAATGATAACAGATAAAGAAACAATTTATTGATAGTAAAAAATAAAGACGATATTTTTAATATTTTTTTAGCTAAAGTGAATTAGTGAAATCTTTCTAATATTTTGACATTGACCTTTAAATTCTGTTGAGAATAATTAAAAAATTATTTTATTCTTTTTTATCCTCTTTTCTTTGACAATATATACAATATATATATAGATGCCTAATAATGCCTATTATTGATAAAGGTCACATGATTAAAAAAAAATAATAAAAAATCGGGAAAAAAAATTTTAGATTTCTTCCTCTCGGTGATTTTTTTTATTATAGCCAAAAAAAAAGGATAGGCATGGGTATGTCTACAAAATTTACAAAAATTCCATTCATTTTACTCTTTTTATAAAGATATTTTTTTATTTATCTTAATCTATATAACTTATATGATTTACTTTCTGAATTTCATTTTCGTTAAATAGCCGTTGGTAAGGTATGAATAAAATTAGATCACAATTATTATTTTTTTTGGCTTTAGAATTGTAAATTCATGATGTTAACCAATAGACTTGATATAGAATAAACGACTTAGTAAAGGAAAAAAGGGATTAAAAAAGAAAATGTAAGCTATATATTTTGAATTTTTCATAAAAAAAAATTGGTGTACTTTTTTTTTTCAATTGAATTTATTTAATATTTTGAATTATCGGTAATAATAATAATAATATAATAATGATAATAATTTATTATTATAGAGTTGACCCTTTTACTCGAAAAGATTGGTACGATGTCAAAGCACCATCTCTCTTTGAAGTTAGAAACATTGGGAAAACCCTTGTTAACCGAACCCAAGGATTAAGTAAGTAATTTTTTCTTAAAATTATTCATATATTTGACTCATATGAATTAATATAATTATTAATATGATTTATTATGTTTATAGAAAGTGCTTCTGATGCATTAAAGGGTCGTGTCTTTGAAGTTTCTTTGGCAGACTTAAATAATGATGAAGAACAAGCATTTCGTAAGATCAAACTTAGAGTCGATGAAGTACAGGGTAAAAACTTATTGACCAATTTTCATGGTATGAATTTTACTTCTGATAAACTAAGATCTTTGGTAAAGAAATGGCAGGTATGGATATTTACCATTAATAATTAAATAATTTTTTAATTATTTTCTTTAATTATTTTTCCTTTTAATTATTTTCCTTTAATTATTTTCTTTTAATTATTTTTCTCTTTTAATTATTTTTTCTTTCTAATATAATTTCTAGTCTCTTATTGAAGCTCACGTTGACGTCAAGACCACTGATGGTTATTTACTACGTCTCTTTGCCATTGCTTTTACTAAAAGACGACCAAATCAAGTTAGTAAGACTACCTACGCTCAGTCATCTCAAATTCGTCAAATTCGTAAGAAAATGTTTGATATTATGACACAACAAGCTACTTCATGCGATTTAAAAGAATTAGTATTAAAATTTGTTCCTGAATCAATTGGTCGTGAGATTGAAAAGGCTTGTCAGGGAATTTATCCTCTTCAAAATGTAAGTATATGGAAATTTACAACGTCATCGATATTTATGGTATTTATAATAAATATATTTATATATATATTTTTTTTAAGGTATACATTCGTAAAGTTAAAATTCTTAAAAGCCCAAAATTTGATGTTCAAAAGTTGATGGAATTACATGGTGACAGTACTGATACTGGTTCTAAAGTTGGTAGAGATTTCAAAGAACCGGAAATTCAAGAATCCGTTTAATTTAAAAATAATATATTTTCTTCTAAAAAGTACTTATTAAAATGAATTATTAAAATTTTTTAAAATATATTTATGAATTCATATCTTCCATCTTGTTCAATGTTATAAATGTTATTTACAATAACCAAGTAATCTTGTAAATTTTTTGATTAGATTATATAAATTAATTATTAATTTATATTTCATAAATTCTAACTTATGAATTTGCATAAAAAAAAAAACTTTGATTTGTGATTTTGATTTAATATCTTTATTATTCAATTGGATCATACTTTAAAATTTGATATTGATTTGGGAGTTAGAATTATACCTTTAAATTCAATTTGACTGTTAGGAATACTAGCTATGCTATAAGATGAAATGTGGTTCATACAAGTGGCTAATAAAAGCAAGCTATCTGAATTTCAAATTAATATTCAGGAGAAGAGCAAATCTTAGATTATTAAAGATATTTAAAAATTTTAGCCTAAATTTTGAGAATTTGATTGGAAGTTTTTAATTCCGATTAATTATATTATTATATTAATTTATTAAATTTATTAATTCTAAAAGAAGAGATACAAGTTAATTATAATTAACATTTCATATTTTTATAAATATAATCTAACTAAAAATACATATTTGGTCAATTTTTCCTGTTCCTGATAATACATAAATGCTTCATTCTTTGATCAAAATATTTGTTTCTAAAAAAAAAGTAACAATTAAATTTAATAAATTATCATCCATTAATTTTATCACATTTATATATTCTTATTAACGATATTTTTTTAGAAATTCCTTATGAAACTTTTCCAATCTTGAACAAATTACATCAAATAATTCTTCAGGTGGTAAAAATGTACTACGTAAATGCCAGCTATTTTCTTTTTGACCAAATCCACTACCAGGTACTACACAAATTCCAGTAGCATTAAGCATGGCCAAACAATAAAATTCATCAGGTTGTTTTCCATCTTTAAGAGCGGCTTCAATTGCTTTTTCAGGAAGATGAATACGGGGAAATAGATACATTGATCCCTGGTATTTGGATTATTATATATTTAAAGATTAGAAAAAATATGTCAAGCAAAATTGTAATAAAATGTGTAAAACAAGTATGCAACAAAAAAAAAAATACCTGTGCATCATTACATTCCATATTTTCCATACTATTAAATACATCACATAATTTTCTACTTCGTCTTATCAAACTTTTATATATTTCATCCATTTCTTTTTGATATAACTCATAACTAGGATCACCAGGTTTTGGTGGATTTACCATCAAATCTACCATAATTTGACCTTGAACATTTGGACAAAGACTAACTGAGGAAATTTTATACAATTGATCAATAACTTTTTGATCAATTCCAGTACATTCATAATAACCACCCCGTCTCCCACATTCTCCTACCATTCCTTTAGAAATTGAATGAAAAGAAAAAAGTTCAAATTGATCATATTTACTATCCATAGATCTGAGCACTTTCTTAAAAGAATGGAATGGATATTCCTTAGGTTGATATATGTTGGCTTGGTAAACTTCATCAGCTAAAAGAACAATACGTTCTTTATGACAAAATTCAATAATTTCTCGCATATTTTGTTCCGTCAAACATTGTCCGGTCGGATTTCCTGGATTAATTATGACTAGAGCACGAACTTCGTATCCTTTTGCTCGTCCTTCAGCAAGTGAGGAATTTAATTGATCAATATCCAAAGCCCAATTATTTTCTTCATTTAAATAATAATGTACAGCGTTGGCATCAAAAAGTGAAATAGTGGCAGAATAGAGAGGATATTGTGGAATAGGTATCATGATACCAACATTAGGATGAGAGATTATAAGGTGCAATACGTTTTGTACACCTGAAGAAGCACCTTGAGTCAAAAAAATATTGTTGGGATCTGATGGATAACCATCTCGTTCTATTTTTATTTATAATTAGTTCAATATAAATTAGTTTTGATATATTAAATGAGTTGGTTTAAATCACGCGATTTACCTTCAATAAATTTTGAAACATTTTTTCTTATGTAATAAATTCCTTGCGAATGAGAATAGGCCCCAACACTCCCAATTTGTTTCAATAATGTTTGTGCATGTTCTATAGCATCAGGTGGGAAAAGTTTTTCTACTTGACTTCGATTTTCAGGTGACAAAAGTTCGGGATATTCAGTTAAAGAGGAAACCTAACTCACAATAACACAAAATTAAATAAAAAATATTAAACACAATAAAAATATTAAACATAATAAATACTAATGTTAAACATTAATGCTTACCTGACGAAAAAAAGTAATTGGTCGTTGCGTGAGTTGTTGCGGATTTCCGATGTTGCAATTGACAACAGCGTCAAATCCCAAATTTTCTTCTTTTTTAAGTTGTTCCTTGATTCTTTCGGCTTGAATTGCCAATTCACCACGAACCGCATATTCTACCTTCTTAATAAGGGGATTTATATTATCATAGGTAATGATTTTGGAATTTAAGGAGGATTCTACCGAAGAACGTTGTTCAAAGAATAAAAGAGATCGTTCGAGGTTCAGAGATTATACCAAAACAAACAAAACAAAAAAACCCTAATAAAATTTAATTGTATAAAATACGGCATAGCGAGTTTTTATTAAGCAAACAAAAAGAAGGCCTGAAGTTTCTCACTTTGCCTAAAGATAAAGATTATAACTAACCAGTTTTAAGCCGCATTATAAAATTCGGGACGAATAATGAAGAATTTATATAAAAGAATTTTCGATAATTTAGTAAAGGAATTATTGTTGTATGTCTTGAACGAATTAAGGCGAAAAAGTGATACATTGAGAAAAGGGGAAATTTATAGGATTTTAAAAACGTAATTATTCTTTTTTTTTTAATAAGAATTGGATGATCTTTCCAATTTTTGATAGAGAGTCGCGAAAATAAAAAAGGAGCCGATGTGATCAACCAATCGGATACCAATTTTAATTTTGTAAAATTTTTTCTATATCAGTATAAGTATTTTAATGTGAATTAATCTAGTTTTTATCTCCATCGAGTTACATCAAAGTAATAAAAAATGCAACAATTAATTTATCTACTGCTTAAATAGGTTTCGGAGATTTGAATTAAATTTCCATTTTTAAACAGTTTGTTATGCACATTGTCGATATCTCATTTAATTTTTTATGCTTATCAATTTTATTGAAACTTTTATTATCTTTTTTTTTTTTTTGAAGCAAGATAATGTCGAACACAACAACTAATACAAAAACTCAAAGTGGGTTTATGACCACAACGACTCAAACCGGCTTTATAAGAGCTGTTAAAGATTGTGCCAGTGGAACTGTGGGTGGTATTGTTCAAGTGTTTGTAGGACAGGTAAAAAATATCGCGTTGAGCGTTCTTTGGAATAATTGTAAAATTCTTTTTGTTTTCAAAAATGTTAACATTCATTATAAGAAAATAGCCATTTGATACTGTTAAAGTGGTATGTATCTTAAATAATTTTATTATCTTTGAAATAGGACAGAATATAAAATAAATATTTTTCTCTATTTAGAGACTTCAAACACAACCAGTACCTAAAGTTGGAGAACAACCAAGGTATTCTGGAATGTTAGATTGTGTTAGGAAAACCAGAAAATATGAAGGATTTTCTGCATTTTACAAGGTTAAATTTTTTATGCATAATGTTAAATTAATTGAGAAAATTAATATTACTTACGATAAGAAATTTAATCTAGGGAACCACAACTCCTTTAGTTGGCGTTGGAGCTTGTGTTTCAATTCAATTTTTGGTTTTGGAATTTATGAAACGTTTTTTTAATGAAAAAAATGGAGGAAAAAATGGTTCATTTACGAATTCACAATTATATTTGTCCGGAGCAGCTGCTGGAATAGCTAATTCTATTATATCGGGTATATATATATATATATATTGCTATCTAATTCATAATAGTCGATAACATCTTTCAATGTTCATTAATTCATATTTATAGGACCGGTTGAACATATCCGTACTCGTAAGTTATAATAAGAGCTAATAGATTCCAATAGTATGCATTAAACATATAATATTAAAAAAATATTGCAGGTCTCCAAGTTCAAATTACATCTTCCCAAGCTCAAAATGCAGCAAAGCCAACTTATTCTGGTCCGTTAGATTGCATTAAAAAAATATATTCATCTTATGGTGTTAAAGGGATTTATAAGGGACAGTTTATCACCATGTTTCGTGAATTCCAAGGATATGGCCAATATTTCTTTATATATGAATTCTTGATGCAACGTTCTATGATTAATGAAAATAAAGCAAGACATGAAATACAAAGTTGGAAGTCTTGTTTATTTGGTGCGATAGCAGGTAAACTTCAATTTCATCTTGTCTTATTGATAAATTATTAATAAATGACAAATGAATGAATATATTATCGTTTGATAGGATATGGAATGTGGGCAATAATATATCCAGTTGATCTCATTAAAAGCAAGTTACAAACTGATGGTTTTACTCCTCATACACGTCAATATAATAGTTCGTGGGATTGTGCAATGAAAACTTATGCAAAAGAAGGGATAAAAGGTTTCTATCCAGGTTTTAGTGCATGCATTTTACGTGCTGGTCCTGTAAATGCTGCAACCTTTGTAGCCTTTGAATTAGCCATGAGACTTTTTGATAAATTTTAAATATATTTCCTTTTTCCCACATGTTTGTTGTAAATGATTCCAGAATATAATAATTAAAATTTATTCAAAAGAAATTAAATGATTATGTACCAAATTTGTTATTATTTTTTTTGTTTTGCTTTGAATTTATTTCTTTATCCTTATCAACATTTTTTCGTTTTAAAGTTGAAGTATTCTTATTGGTTCCTTTGACCCATTCAAAAAAATCGCATCGATCTTCTTTGGTATTTCCAACCGATCTTTTTTTTTAGTATATTGGTAAAAGGTGGATGTAATCATTAGATTATCTCATCCAAAGAGATTAAACAAAGAATTGAATGGAGCAGAAAAAATTTGAATGATAGAGAGAAAATAACAGAGATATACCTTGAACACAAATAAAATCTTCGCCCTTGATTTGGTCCAGGTTTGTTGACTCTATATTCTTTGCAAGGTTCATCATGAACTTTACATTTTGGTATAGGACGTGGTGCAAAAAGAGCATTCCATTGGGATATTGTTTCTGAATTATTATTGTTGAAATCAGTAATAGATATTTCTTTACAATTTTCTACCAAATTATTTTTAATTTCTTTTATTTCTTCAATATTTTCTTGTTGGGTAGATTCTTCATTTGGTGATTTTTCAGATGAATCAGATAGTAATTCTTCTAATCGATTTAATTGATTTAATTGATTTAATTGATTATGTTCTTCTAGCGAAACAGATTTTTCTTTTATTGAATAATCATTATTAGAAATCTTATCCGGAATTTGTTGTTTAAAAAAAGATACGAGAGATTTTTGATTTTTTTCTAATTCTAACTTTTTTTTTGTTTTACGAACATTACTTTTAGTTGATTTAGATGACATTGATTTCGGTGATGTTGTTGTTTGCTTAGATGGATTTCTAGTATTTGTGAATTCTTTTGATACTGATAAATCATTATTAGATGTATTAGATGTATTAGATGTATTAGGTGTATTAGATGTATTAGGTGTATTAGATGTATAAAGAGATTCATTTACTAATTCTTCATTTTCCATTTGATTATTTAATTCCACATTTTCTATATTATTATTTTCCATTCGATTATTTTCTGGTTGTTCGTTTAAAATTAATTTGGCATCATTCTTCTCATCTGATCTAATAAAAAATGTTTTTAATGTTTTTTGACTTCCCATAAATTTCGGTAGATATTTAGTACAAAGTCGCGGTGTTTTTGGAGGTTCATTACTATCATTAGCATTTGTTTCTTCTTTTAAAGTGTAGATATGTCCGTCCTCATTTATTGTGTCATAAAGTTCTGCCACAACGGGACAATGATCAGATCCCATAATGCTTTGTTCAACATTACAAGACTTAAACCATTTCATCAATCCTGGACTAACGAGTATATAATCTAAGCGTGTACCTGAATTGATATTTTGAATTGAAATATTTTGAATTAAACATTTTGAATTTATATTTTGAATTGAAATATTTTGAATTGATATTTGAATTGATATTTTGAATTAATGTTGAAATTAATACTTGAATATATACACAACAATAAAGATGAAATTACCATAATTCGCAGGTCTAAATAATATATTTATATTTGTTGCGTTAACTTATTGATAAATTAAAATAAATAATATAAACAATAGACAAATTTATTTATCTAACCTCGCATTAATCACAGTATTCCAACCTATAGGACAACGATTTATATGTTAATTAATTACTTTAATAATTAATCACAACAATTAATTAATTACTTACATGTAAACATTCCTTTCTCATCAGGGTGAAAATGTCTACATAAATCAATCAAAGGACCATTTGGTGATACTAATTTATCAAACATTTTTCTTAAAGGATGTTCACCAAATGATTCTAATCCAAATTCTTTAACGAATTTTTCTGGATCACAATGATCAATTTCTTTATGCGTAACGTTCATATCACCCATTATAATTATTTCTCTACCAGCTTGAATTAAATTGTTAATCCGATTTAAAAGTACTTTATAAAATTGAATTTTAAAAAAAAGACGTTCTTGACTAGCTGTATGAGGACAATAAAGATTAAATAATACAAACATTTTAAAATCTAGAATAATACAACGACCTTCTGAATCAAGATTAAGTAATTCTTCGGTACTAAAAGTTAAATTGTAATTGTTATGGTACTCATTAGAAGTATTAGAAGTCATAATGGAATTATTATTAATTGATTGATTTGAAGTTATTGTTGATTGATCTGATTTATTGGAAATTGTTGAAGATTGATTTAAAAGTCCAGAAATTCCTTCCTCAGCTGATATTGGTTTTATGGAATTAGTTTTTACATAAATTGCAACACCTGAATATGATGCTTTTCCTTTCGCGAAAGAGAAATATGTATCATATCCTGGAACTATTGCCATTGATGAATCTAACCGTTCTAATGTAATTTTTGTTTCTTGAAAACATATTATATCAGCATTAAGTGCATCTAGGATGGTCTATTAAAAAAAAAAAAAATAGTAAATTTTTTTTACGCTTGATATAATAGCAAGGTTTTTTGACAAAATAAATTGTTCATAGAAACAAAAAAGATCATTATATCTATAATTAAAACTTACTTTAAAGTTCTTATGTTCACACCAACTAAAAGTTAAATGAAAAATAAGGTTTATTATACATGTTTTGACGAAATTTAATATAAAAAAAAAAGAAGTTTTTTTTTAAAAGCCACCTACGGATAATATTGAGTAAGAGATCTTAACCCATTTATATTCCAGGTGAGCAACTGCATGTTTTTCGTGATTGATTGTTATACAGTAAATCTTTTTTATCTCTTGGAATTGATAATTGATCAGGTGAATTGAATAACCAAAAAAAGTTATAAAATCGTCGATTTGTTATTTTTTTTTTAAAAAAAAAATTACTTTTAACTTTTTAACTTTAACCAAAATGAATGAAGAAAATATCAATAATAATGATAATAAATTCTTCTGGTTAAATGATGATGATAAAGAAACAACACTTTCTTCAATTCGAAGTTCCCTTTCCTCTTTTCCGTCACCACCTTTACGCATTATGCGAGTTAGTCAATTAGATACTGATTTGTTGGATATTGAACTCTTTGATATTCTTAAAGAGCAATTATGGCAGATTTTTACTCTTTTTAAGGTATTTTCTATTTTTTGAACTTTAGGAATTATTGTTTTCACAAATATATTTACACTATATATTTACATAATAAGTCAGAATTCTATTTTATTTATTTATTTATTTATTTATTATTATTATTATTTTAGCCTAACTTTAGAGTGACTTTTGAACCGGAATTACTCGCTTTATTACAATTTATTATGTATCGCCTCTCTATTTATGAGTCTGGAGCTTCTTACGGTGCACAATTACAAAATTTAAAATATCGAAATGAAAGAAAACATGGAGGATTGTGTGAATGATTTTTTCATAATTATATATAATAATAATTATAATTACATAATAAATTAAAATTAAATATGATCGACATATAAATCATTCATTCACTTTTTAGTACAATCAACCGCGAAAGATGCACCTCTTACGAAATTTCAAAAATACGCATTTGGAATTATGACAATTGGAGGTCAATATGTTTGGATGCGTATTAATCAAATAGTGACAGCTCAAGGTTGGGGTGAATTGGAAGATGTAGGTGTGTTTGTTTCTTTTTTTTTATATTTTGAAAAAATTCAATAATTCAATGATAAATCAAATTTATAATTTATAATTAATTATATAAATTATATAAATTATATATAATTTTATTATTAAATTGTTAGAATAATCCGCGAAAGATTTTCTGGAAAATTTTACAAAAAGTGGAAAATATTTATCGAGTATTATCTTTGTTAAATTTTTTTGTGTTTTTATATGATGGAAAGTAAGTTAAAATTTATGAAATTTCGTGGATATTTATTTAATATTATTAAAAATTTATTAAAATATTCAAATTTAAAATCTTTAGATATCGTAATTTGATTGATAAAATTCTTTCAATGCGTTTAGTGTATGATCGAAGGACGATAAACAGACAAATTAATTTTGAATTTTTAAATCGTCAGTTGGTTTGGCATGCCTTTACGGTACGGTATTAAAACTACTTTCTCGATATATTCAATTATTCTATTATTATTATTATTTACACTTCTTAAATAATTATAAAATATGATATAATTTATATGTAGGAGTTTCTTTTATTCCTTATGCCGCTCATTAATCTGAGGAAATTAAAAAATATTCTTCAAAGAAAACTTCTTCCAGCATCGTATACTAAATCCAAATTACTTAATTTCTTACCACCTCATATTTGTGCAATATGTTATGAAAATCAAGCAGCTCCAACAACATCAACAACAACAACAACATCTGCAACAACATCTACAATTTCTACCAATGTTAATTCAACAAAATTACATAATCCATATGAAACTAATTGTGGACATAGATATTGTTATTATTGTATTAAAACAAAATTGATTCAAGAAGATGGAAGTTGGGGATGTTTGAGATGTGGAGAGGTGGTGAAAGAAATTACTCGAGTTTTTGAGAAGGTGGTTGATGAGGAAGTAGAAACTTCTAAGGATATTAGAAATAATAAAGGTAATAAAACAAAGCAACCAGTCAGGTAAGAGAAGAGATACAGGTAAGAGAAATATATAAATAATGATAATAATTAATAAATAATAATAATAATAATAATAATAATAATAATAATAATAATAATAATAATATTGTTATAATATTATTACTACTGTATTAAATATTATTGTTAAATAAATAAAATTTTTTATTTGATTTTTAATAAGTAATTTTGGAATATGCAATTTGAAGTTATCCTATAATAATTTATTAAAAGTAAAAGTTGTATTATAGAGACATTATATATAATCTATTATAATCTATTATAATATAATATAATATAATATAATTAATACATAATTAATATATAATATAATTTTTTTTTATTAAAGAATTATCACCTAATCGCGAAGAAACATTGTACAAAAATAAATATGGTTTTGATTGATAAAAGAAAAAAATAAAAATGACAAGGAAATAGTAAACTTAAATTATAATAATAATAAATTTAAAAGCAAGATTCTAATGAAGTTGAGAATTTTCTCTTGATTTTCTTAACTTTTCCAGTTAAACCAGTTAAACCACTAAAAGTAGATAAATTGAAACCTGGTATATTCGGTATTTGTCCATCCTAAAATATGATGATAATAATTTTAATAATAATTAAGAATGTAAATAATTAATATAATTAATAATAACACAATTAATAATTTTATATAATTAATAATAAAATAAATAAATAAATAAATAAAATGATTAATAATTACCTTAATAGGACAATCAATATAAGCTTTTTTATTAAAAGTAGGACTAACAGTAATTAATATAACTTTTAATGATAAAGTCAATGTATAATCTATTTCCAATTTTTCTTTTGTACCACCAGTTAATCCACATTTTATAGCAATATCCGATAAAATTGAAAAACCTGGATCAATATCTGAATCATAATTTACTGAGAATGGAAATTTAATTGTGGTATTTGCTTTACTAGCAATGCTAACATCGGTTAAATTTCCACCTCCAATTTTTTCATTATGACCTGGATAAAATGCCTAAATATTAAAATAAAGTATTATATTATGTGATTAATAATATATATATATAATCTTTAATAAACTCTAATCTAAATTCTAATCTAAACTTGAATATACTTTGATATAATTTAAAAAATATTTACCACAGCAACAATCTTAGAGAATTTCGCTCCAACAAGATTAGGATTATTAACATTAATCTCTAATCCAAAATTAAAATCAAATCCTTTTTCTCGAGCTACATAAGCTTCTAAACCCAAAGGTGATTCAACAATACCAACAAATTCTACATCAGGAGCTTTTGCCCATAATAAAACAGCCGCCACAATAGCAACGACAATTAATAGAAAAATACAACATCCAATACAACAACATTTTTTCCAGGATGATTTACTACCACAACATAAAAATTTCATTAATCCACCATGTTTCTTACGTTGTCTTTCATTACCATCTTTCGCAAATGCTATTTGACTACTAAATATTGTTGATCCACGTTGATCTTTATTATTATTACCAAAATTCTTGTTAGAAATAGATTTTCGGCCTTTTCTTTCTCCTCCCAAAGAATTATATCCTTTTGTTTCTTCTGAATAAGTAACATTACTAGAAGAGGTTTCTAAATTATTCATATCATTATTATAATTATTATTCATATCATTATTATAATTATTATTCATATCATTATTATAATTATTATTATAATTATTATTATAATTATTAAATTCTGTAGGTGAATTTAAATTTTGCTGATGTTGCATTCCTGGAGGATAACTAAAAATAATAAATAAATAAATAAATAAGTAAATAAAATAAAATAATTTAATATATCAATTACGAATAATAATATATATATATATATATATTTTTAAATAAATAAAGTACCCATCATTGACATTCGGAATCTGACCACTGCCCTCATAATTATTATAATTATTATAATCGACGGTGTTAGGGTAATGATTCATGAGTTGATTATTATTATGATAATTCATATCATAATTATTATTATTCTTATATTTATAATCCATTTTCTCTCTTTTATTCTTTTATTATTCTTCTTCTTTTATTTACTTTTTTTCTTTTCTTTATTTATTCTCTCTCCTTTTTATTTCTTTTATTTTCGATTTCTTTTTCTTTTAAATATGTATACAATACACTTTAACAAACAAACAAGTTAAAATTTTGATTTTCTTATCCAAGTCAAAAATACATTTATGACTATTTATTTTATAACTAGCGTTTACTTCTTATTAATATAATATGACAAATTTGGACCAAGTTTGACACTTTCGAGAGTTTGACCAAAAAAGAATATCAGTAATAAAAGCAAAGCAATAAAATTGGTATATCAAACATAAATAGAAAAGTGGACTATATTTTTTTATATAAATTTATATATTTAGTATGAAAAAGAATATTCTTAAACTGGGCAAAAAGGCTGAAACCAAAAAGTCTAATAGTGTATGGTGTATAGAAGTATAATATATGAAAAAAAAAGGAGGGAAGAAAAGAAGAAAAATGGGAGAAAGGATACCTTATACAAATATTTTTACTTGATACCAGGCAAAGAGAGAATAAAGGAAATTCTTTCCTTATCGTAAAATCAAAGATATGTTCAAAAGATAAATTTAAAAGATATATTCAAAAAAAAAAAAATTTCAACAAAAAAAACCAAAAATTATAGAATTGATAATATAATTAAAATAATGATTTAATAAGGTTATTTCATTGTATTATTAATAGTTTGGGAATGAATTATACTAAAAAATTATATTTAATGTTATATGATTATTAATAAGTCATCCTTGTTTTTCGGGGAAGGTCTTACAAATTAGTTTTTATATCAGGTTAAATTACACACTAAATGATTTTAGATTATATTAAATGTTTTTTTAAATTATGTTGATTACTTGTTATATCATAGTTTTAATGTATTTTATACAGTATTTTGTATTTTGTATACATTTTATATTAATTACATATTTTTTTATGGTACTAAAGGCACGTGTATTCAATATTTGTGGTACGGTAATTATCAATGAATTTTTGAATTTCTTCTAGTCTTTTGCGTAAACTATATATATATTACGTATAATTATTATAAATTCTTTAATAAATAATAAAATAATATAATAACAGATAATGAACGAGAATAAAAAATAATAATAAATTTTTTTTACTGACATTGCTTCTTTTAGCAAATTCAAGTTTATTTAAACTTGATGGAAATGATCGAATCAGATTAATCAAGATTGATTAATTAAAATAATGATTGATGGAATTAAGATTTTTAATTTATTATGAATAAATTAACACTAAATTAAGTAATTAAAGTTTTTATAGTATAGATATATGAATAAATATATATATAATATAAATATATATAATTTACCTTCATGAAAAGAAATTCTTCTGCTTGGAAATCTATTATAAAAAAAAAAAAAAATCAATTAACCTTCGCCAAATTTAGTTTGGAAGCATCTTCCTCCTCTTATGGGGGTTTACGGCCTCTACAAGTATTGGCTAGTGGGCTAGTGTTGTTAACGGTCCGGTTTGGTCCAGATTGGCTTAGCTCGGACTTGACAGAATTTAGTATTGGCCTGTTAAAACTATCAAGTTGATATTTATATTACATCATTTTACTAAGAAAATTGTACATCGAGATTTGTTTCTTTATCTTTGTTTTAAATTTTTATCAGAATTAAGGATAGCATTTTTGAGATGATGGCTTTATTACTTTAAAAAACAGCTCTTCAATGATGCTTAAATCTATCAAAATTGATATTTACATTATTTTGTACTGTATGTATTATGTGCGTATATCACATGTATCACTTATATAATATTTACGATGAATAAATATATCTATTTTTTCGAAATTTAAATTAAATAACAAGGATTTTCATCGAATTTTTTCTCTAATTTTTACACTAAAAAGTCTCATTAAAATTTTTTTTTTGAAATTTTTGATTAATTAACTTTGCACTACAATATCCTCTTTCTTCTGGTTTCTTCTTTATTAGATTCATTTTCTTTTTCTATAAAAACACCTAATCCTTCTCCTTCAATACATAGTTCAAAAATATGATCCAAGAATACTAATCTATCATCATCACCTGGAGTATTTTAATAATTCTTAATTCTTCTTCTACTCTAATTTGTCCACTTCATTGGCTTGAATGATATGTTGATTTTGATCTAGCTTCTGTATCATATTGTTCCAATTCTTTGTCAATTTTTTGAATCATTTTTTTTTCTAATCCTGATCCAAGGCGATTAGATAACTTGAGTTCTTGAGCCTCTTTAATTCTTGAATATCCTAAATTATTGTAATTATATTATAATTACATCGAGATTAGATTAGATTAGATTATTACCTCCATACATTCTTCTCGATCTTCTTTAATTTTGAGGAACATAAGCTTGTAAACCATAAGTTGAAGGATCAACACTAATAAATTTCTACTTCAGGAGTTTTTGCCCATAATTATAATAATAATAATACGCCACAATAGCAATAATAATTAAGATTAAAATACAACAACCAACACAACAGCATTTTCTACAGGTCGATTTATTATTACAACATAAATATTTCATTAATCCACCATATTTCTTATGTTGTCTTTCATTATCATCTTTCATAAATGCGATTCGACGATTTGAAACAAATATTGTTGATCCACGTTGATCTTTATTATTATTATTATTATTATTATTATTATTATTATTACTAATACTCTTGTTGGTAACAGATTTTCCGCCTACTCCTCCTCTCAAAGGATTGTATCCTTTTATTGATGAAGGATTTGAATTATTCATATTATAATTATTATTATTACTAATATTCTTGTTGGTAGTAGATTCTCCTCTTCCTCCCAAAGGATTATATCCTTTTGTATTCATATTCAAATTATTATTATAATTATTATTATAATTATTATTATAATTATTATCATAATTATTATAATAATTATTCATATTATTATTATAATTATTATTGTAATTATTATGATGATTATTGTAATTATTATGATTATTATTATAATTATTATTATAATAATTATTATTATTCAATGATTGATATGCTGTAGGTGAATTTGAATTTGATTGATGCTGCCTTCTTGGAGGATAACTAAAAATAATAAATAAATCAAATAAATAAAATAATTTAACATATCAATTACAATCAAATATAATTAAATAAAAATAAGTACCCAGAATTCTCATAATTGTTATAATTGTTATTATAAACGTTATAAGGGTAATTATGATTCTCTGGATATCCAATATCTTCTCTAATATCTCTTTTATTAGAATAATTCATAATTTGATTATTATTATTATTATTATTCTGATATTAAGTCCTTCTCTATTTTTTCTTTTCTTCTTTTTATTTATTTCTTTATATATGTTTACAACAAATAAATAAGATAAGTTTTTTAAAAATTTTGATTTTCACGATTCAAGAATATATTATCAAAGTCAAAAATAAATTTATGACTATTTATAACTAGCCTTTACTTATTAATATAATATAATATCGAAAGTGGACTATATTTTTATATAAATATATATAGTTCAAAAAAGAATATTCTTAAACAGGTTGAAACTATAAAGTTTTATAGTGTATAAGTTGTGTTGATGTTTTGGTGTTTCGGTGTATACAGGTATGGTGTATACATGTATAATATATGAAAAAATGAAGGAAGAAAAGAGGAAGATAGGGAGAAAGGACACGTTCATAAATATCTTTAATATTTGTACCGGGAAAAGAGAGAGAGAGAAGAAATTCTTTCCTTCTTGCCGTAAAATCAAAGATAAGTTCAAAGGTATATTGTTTAAAGAATGTTAATAATGTTTGATTACCCGTTTTATTCTATTATTTTGTGTAATGTATAATGTTACATATATTTATATTTTGTATACATTTTATATATTTGAAGTCGTTTTATTGTATATATTGAATTCTAAAGATTTAATATTTTTTTGCCATTTTAAACAAATTTAATGATATTATTTTTTATTAATTCTTGTTTACGGTATGTAAATATGTTCACTCGGGACGCGTACACTAATTATCAATGTATAATATGTATAAAATGTATAAATGGATATATTTATGTTTGAAATTTTCGTAGTTGTCCAATATCATCAAGTATAGAACGAATTTCTTCATCTGGTCTTTTGCATAAACTATATATTACGTATTTATATGTTTATTATATTTTTTTTCTAGATTCTTTAATGATGAATAATAATAAATAATAATAAAATAAATAATAATAAATAATGACTTACCTTGGAATGAGTGATTTTGCTTCTTCTACATCATCACAACATAAATTAGCTAATTGAACCAATTCATATTTCTCAAGTTTATGTCTCATCAATGTTCTATTTGAAATTTGATCAAATGTTGATTAAAAATAATTGAAATCAGATTAAAATAATTGATTGATGGAATTATGATTTTTTTTTAATTTATTTACTTTCGGAGCTCTCGTACAGATTCTTCATTATGAAATTTGGTAAATAAATTAACGTATTCTGCTGTTTTTTGATATACACTAATAAAGGTTTTAAGTTTTACAGTATAAATAAATAAATAAATATATATATATATGTATGAAATATAAATATATTTAATTTACTTTACCTTGTATTTTTTTGGCTTTCTGGTGTCTTTGCAAGTAATAAAGCAACCTCTGATATGAAAAGAAATTCTTCTGCTTGGAAATCTATTATAAAAAAAAAAAATCAAATTATATAATAAATTTATTATTATTGTCATGTTTATAAAGAATGTAGTAGTTAATTGCAGTAAACTATAAAACAGTAATAAGTTATTAACCTTCGCCAAATTTCAGTTTGGAAGCATCTTCCTCTTCTTGTGGGGGTTTACGGCCTCTACGAGTATTGGCCATAATATTATTGTATTAAAACTATCAACATTTATACTTAAACTATTTATACTGTATATACTGTACTATGTGCATATATCACTTATATCACTTATATCACTTTTATTTATGTGACATATTATGTGGCATTAAGTGATTATAACGAAATTGTATAATAACAATAATTGCATTGAATAAATAAATCATGGTCTTTCATGTATTTTATTATTTATCTATTTTTTTTTTTTTTGAAATTTAAATTACAAATAACAAGAATTTTTTCCCCGAATTTTTCTCTAAAATTTTTACATTAAAGTCATTAAAGTCTCAATGAAATTTTTGATTAATTAACTTTGTACTACAATATCCTCTTTTTTTGGTTTCTTCACTTTTTCTTCTTTATTAGATTCATTTTCTTTTTCTACCAAAACACCTAATCCTTCTCCTTCAGTGCATAGTTCAGAAATATGATCCAAGAATACTAATCCATCACCATCAGCATCTAATTTTTTAACTATTTTTTTAATTCTTTCATTATCACCTGGAGTATGTTTAATAATTCTTAATGCTTCTTCTAAAGCATTCACACTAATTTGTCCACTTTCATTGGCTTGAATGATATTTAATTTTGATCCAACTTCTGTATCATATTGCTCCAATTCTTTGTCAATTTTTTGAATCATTTTTTCTAATCTTGATCCAAGGCGATTAGATAACTTGGATTCTTGAGCCTTACCAGTATCCTTTAATTCTTGAATATCCTAAAATTATTATAGTAATTACATCGAAATTAGAATTGTAATTACATTAGATTAGATCATAATTATATTTATTACCTCCTTATATTCTTCTCGATCTTCCTTAATTTCATTTAAAGCCTCTCTTTCTTCTAGTACAGCTGACTTCGATGAAAGAATAGATAATGCTGCACGTAATTCTTGTAATTGTTGTTCTGTCATGCGTACATCTTCTTCCTCGGGTACCTACAACAAATGCCATTTTTAATCATTTTTAAATCGTTCTTTTATTTTTCATTTTATTAGAATTTATTAATTTACCTTTTTTTCCGAAAGAACCGCTTCTTTAGCAGCTTCATCTTTTTCCTTTTGAGCACGTCGAGCAGCTTCCTCTTTCTAAAATATATGTATGCATCAACATATAATATATCATACATCATACATATCATATTCCAAATTGAAAAAAAAAAATAGATATATAATATTATTTGTTTAAACCTCCTCTTGAGCTTTTTCGTCAGCAATTAATTCTTCTTGCTCTTCTAAGACCTCAAGTTTTTGTTTGTAAGTTGCAGTTCCATCATCCTCCATCACTTGTAATTCTTTTTCATTGACCTGAGAAAAACACAAACACACATATATATATATATATCAATTACTAATGATCACTTGTAAAAAAAAGAAGAAACGAACTGACATACAAGATTATCCGGTAAACTATTTAATGTTGCGCTAAGAGCTTCATTTTGATCTCCTAATTCAGATCGATCAGCAAAACTAAATGCTCGGGAAAGAATCAAAAGAGTAGATGGAATTTTATGATTCAGATGAAGATCTAACCATTGTTGTAATTCGCTACGTAAACGAGCTGGAGATACTCCAATCGTACGAATTCCACGTGATTGACAAGCATGTTGAAGTTCGGGAACGGTAAGTGAATCAACTCCTTCACTCATAATCATCTGAATATATATTTAGATATATTATATATATATATAAATATATCATATTTTACTATGTTCTATATCTCGAAATTTTCTTCTTCTAATAAATATTACTAATAAATATTATAAATATTTGAATAACCTTGTCATCATTATGAATAGCCTTCATTTTATTCCTGATTTGATATCTCAAAAAATTATCCGTCCCAAAAGCATTGATATTCATATAACGACACATGCTAACTAGTTGGGGACGAGATAAATTATCTAAAGTTAACTCATCTTCAAAAAGTTTAGCTACACGAATTAAATCTTCTGTATTGGCTTGCTCTCCAGTTGAGCGAACCTAAAAATAGAAATAAAATTATATATATATATATATATATTTAAATAATTGAATATATTTATAATTTCAAATTTACCTTGCGAAAGAAATCAGTAAATTCTTTTGCTTCTTGATGTTGTCCTGGTACTCCAGTTTCGGAAATTGTCTCTTGTAAAAATTTGGCCATCTCCAATCGCACTTTAAGTAATTTTCTTTTTTTTTCTTCCTACAAAAATTATAATCATTTTTTTTTTGCTAAAGATATTAAATAGATATATTTATATTTATATAAAAGATATTAATTTTATTAAATAATTATTAATATACCTTTGCATATTTATCTTCAAAAGTGCTTGGTAACATGTTTGGAAACAATTTAAGTGCTACTGGCAAGAGAAATTCCATAAAAGGTACAATTATAAAAACCGCAAATGGAACCAATCGAACTAAATCTTGTGTGGTTCGTTTAAGCTATCAAAGAAATTATTATTAATAAAAAGATTCAAATGTATTAAATCAATCAATTATAAGTATAATAAGTATAATAATAAAACCTGTCGAAATTCTCGTCGAGTTAATTTTTGACCTTTTAAAAGCTTGTATAAAAGCTTTGTAGAAATTTTTATTTCTAAACCAAGAAGTTTGGTTCCATGCCAATAATGAATTAATTCATCCTTTATCCTGGTAGATAATGGTTTTTTCTTAATAACAGTATTAGAAACTTTTTCAGCCATATTTGCTTCTGCTTTTTCGAATTGTAAGGCTTTATGTGTAATTGACTCCTTTTCTTTCGCTTCCTTTATTAGGTCTTTAGAAACTTGTGCATTACGAAGAAGTCGTAATTCATTAGGCAAGGTGAATGGACTCTTTCTTGAATGATACAGAACACATTGAGCATATCGAGCATATTGTATGGGTGAATTATTTTGGAATTGTCGTAATGGTGACACGTGGTGTGTTTTATGCAAAATTTTTCGAGTTGTTAAAAATGAACTTGAATGGATAAACCTATTGTTCACTTGCATTTGTTTTTTACGCGTATAATATTGTAGTGAGGATAAACCAATTTTTTTTAAATAAAGGAAGAACAAACATATTTATCAGATAAAAAAAAAAATTTTTTTTTTGAGAAAATTTGATTTTTAATTCCCTACCAACACCGAAATTCTGAAACCTCTGGTAGATGAATAATGAAGGAACATTGCTTCTTGAAGAAGTAGTGAACGTTGTCTGACTTAATGTAAGAAATTTTATTGAAGCCATTTTCAGTATTCAAAATTATTTTTTTTATCGTTGGTTAAATTTTAATCGAGAAATTTTTTTTAAAATTCACGTGCCAATCAAATCGGAAATTTGCGGACGGCGATGTTGCTGCATATATTCATCAGTTACGTCACACTCATTAACTCGCGTTACGTCATTGTAAAGATTAAACTTGAAAAACACGCATAAATAATATAAATTTATTGATTAATTGTGCAACAATATGTTCTAAAATATGGAAAGTTCACAAAGAAGAATATCTTATCGTCGAAGAATTCAAGTATATCAAAGAATTAGAAAGAAAAGGCATATGCCTTTCCGTAGTCCAGGAGTAAATCAACGCGAGATAACAGACATTATTTCTCATAGAGACATTTTACGTATAACTGATAGGTAACAGTAATTTTCAAAATCTAAATCCCAACGGAATAATTCATTAAATTTTAGTTTATTTACTTTAAAGATTATTAGAGCGTGCACCAAAATTTATTCAAGTGGTTTTTCTTGGAAGTTTCTCATTTATATTTTTTTATATCTTGTGGCTTATCAATGATGCAGTAGATGGAAGAGTGGAAAAACATTCATTAGGTTTTTTACTTAGATTTAATTTATTATAATTATATTATGAATTGATTTTTATTATTTATTAAAATAGATAAACTATACTATAAATATTATATTTGTCACAATTTATCACAATTTATAGAAATGAAACAATTAATATCTGAATGTGCAAGAAATTATAAAAAAGGTTTATGTGAACCAGAAATAAGAGCTATACCATCAGAAGTAACATGCAAACAATGGGAATTATGTATGAACCAAAATCCCAGTACTATTGATTTACAAATTAGACTCAATATTTATTCAGAAGTTATAAATGAAACCATAAATACTTTAATGAATGGTTTTCCTTTTTGGAAAGTTGCAGGATTCTTTGGTGTCATCACAAGTTCTTTTATATTGATTTTTATTATTTCAATCATAATTCTCAGAGTAATGTCTTTTATTCTTCCGCACATACTTCCACAATCAAATAATTCCATGTCAGCAATAACTACTTCAATTTCATCCACCCCAACTATATCTTCTCCTTTATCAACTCCCATATCAATTCCTACTCCTTCAACTCCAACTTCAATTACTCCAATGCATTTTCCAATTTATTATCATTCTACATCTGTTCCAAATACTTCTTCTACACAAACTGCCATTACTCCTAATACACAAGATTCCACTATTCCAATGCATATTCAAGTTTATTCTCCAACACCTGTTACCAACGCTCCAATATATGTTCATTCTTCTTCTACACCAGTTTACAATACTCCATTACGTATTCAAACTCGTCCTTCCTCTCTTTAATACTCTTTAACACTCTTTAATATTAAATGTATTACAGAAATTCAAATTAGAATTTTTTTTTACATTCTAATAAAATGTAAAATTTTAACGCTAATATAATTGTACAATAAAAAGTTTATTGATAAATTGATTGTACAATAAAGACGTGAAATTGTCTTTAGCTTTTGTATTATTAATTCTAGTACGCACCAAAGTGGATTACATATATATACTATATATATAATATTATATATAATATACATTGACTAATAAAAATTATTAAAAATAAATAAAAGAAATAAAAGAAATAAAAATCAATAAAATCAATAAAATTAAATAAATAAATTATTATCGTAATTCAGCTGACAACAAAGCTGGATTCTCCAAAAGATTTTTCCATCTTTGAGAAAATTTAGCAATTGTAACTCCATCAATTACTCGATGATCCGCTGAAAAACTTATTGGAACAATATTTTTAGCTACTACTTGTTCTTTAATTTCTCCTGTAATTTTATCTTTAATAATTTCAAATCTTGGTAATCTTTGAATTTTTCCTATTGCCGCTATACATAATTCAGAACAAACAACTACTGGCGAAAGAAAAATTCCTCCAATTATTCCAATATTTGATAAAGTTATAGTTCCATCTTTTAAATCAGTTGGTGAAATTAAATTTTTTTTACCCGCTTCTTGTAAACGTTGTAAATCTTCGGAAATTTCAAAAATAGATTTCGTTTGTACATTTTTTATATTTGGTACTAATAATCCTCCTGGTGTATCCATAGCAATCCCAACATTATGTGCACTACGATATCTTATTTTTATCACATTGGAATCACCATCATCATTTTCTTTTTCAATAATACTTGCGTTGAGAATAGGAAATTGTTGTAAAGCTACCGAAAATGATTTTATTAAAATTGGCATATAAGAAATTTTCTTGATTGAAAATTGATTATTACTTTGACCAATCATGTCACGAAATGAAATGACATTATCAAAAGAATATTCGTCACTATATCCAAAGTGAGGAATTTGAAGAGATTTCGTCATAATTTTAAACATTGATTTTTGAATGTTTGTAAGAGGAACAATTTTATCTTCCACAGGATACTGAGAAACGTAAGGTTTTTGAATATCTATAAAAATGATCAGGAAAAAAATGATCAGAGAAAATGATAAGAAAAAAAATGGATGAGGAAAAAAATACAAAAATCCTTACCTGCAATTTTTAGATCAGCCACATGATTTAACACATCCTCTTTTGTCACCCGACCATCTTTTCCAGTTCCTTTGATACTTTTAATATCAATGTTATGTTCACGTACTATTCGTCTCACCGCGGGAGCAGCCAACATATATAATTTTCCGTCACTAACATTACCCACTTTACTAGTTAGATTGCTTAAATCAGGTTCAGGAATTTTAGTTTTGAGAGTTTGTGTTATTGCGGTTGTTTGTGTTATTACGCTTTCTTTACTTTCTTTACTTTCTTCACCCGTAGAATCAATAGTTTCGTTTATATTTTCAGTTTCGATATCAACTATTTTACTTCCTACTTTGGCCATATCACCAATTTTATAAAATAATTCTTTAACGATTCCAGTATAACGTGAAGTGATTTCGACAGAAGCTTTATCAGATTGTACTTCACAAATTTTGTCAAATTCGGATACATGATCACCTGGTTTTACGAACCTTGTTGAGATATGAAATAAATTATAAAAGAAATAATTAATATTATTCAAAATTCTTAAATAATTAAAATAATTAAAATCATTTAAGAAAATCTGAATATACAAACCATTGTACAATTTCACATTCGGTAATACCTTCTCCAATATCGGCAAGTAAGAATGGAACAACAGCGTTACATGAAAAAGAATTATGAAATTCGCGATGAAAATGAAAGGGTTTATTATTAGACAAAAAGAGAGGATTGACAATTAAAGGCTAATATATATAGAAATTATATTATATTATTATGATGATGATTTAATTAATATAATTAATAATTATAAATTTTTCATAAAATTACATTACATTACCCTCTTAGTAGTTGTATAATTTGAATAATGAATATTGATTAATTGACGTGAAAATTTTCGACCCATAAATAAAATCTACTGATAGAATTTTTAGTCAATTTTTTAGTCAAGTTATTAAGAACAATATCTTTTTCGAAGTAATTTCAAAAAAAAAAAAAAAAAGGTAGAAACAAAAAGTTAAAGTGCTTTTTCGAAAAGAACCATATGACCTTTTCGGTCATTCCTAATATTACGTTTAAGACTCACCCCATATTTAATAGATTTAATAGATCCACCGTTCATTCGAAAATGGCGAGAATAGTCATCAAAAAATCTTTTAATTTGTGTAGTCATTTTTTGGTAATGAGTACCGAAACACAAGTATTTCATTGTTATTTTTATTTGACAATAAATATTACCATTTTGGAATACATCTTAAATCAACGAATTTAATAAATTAGTATAAATAAATTATGCTATCATGAAAAAAATCTCGCAGTGAATATAATTAAAATGATGACACTAAATAAATATTGCATTATTTTTTTAACGGTGCGTATTTGCTTTAATAGGTTAAAAAAGGAAACCAATTCATTATGGAATTTCCGAACTTGACGTAATAAGATGTCTAAACTGAAATTTTTTTTTTCTATAAAAAAATAACATAAATATGTCGGAAGTAACAGTCGAAACCACGAAACTATTTTGTTTCTCATCTGTTTATATAGGATTTTCTATTTTATCGTGATATAAATATCACAACTTAAAATGAAGAAGAAATAAAATTAATTAATTTAATTAACTATTAACATGAAAAATATTTATTCTTATCATTTTACAAGTTTCTATTATATCTGTTTTATATTTTATTATTAATAGTGGGAAAAAATGAAATTTTTGCAAGTTTTTCTTCTAAAATAGATAAAGTAGAATATATTAAACGAGATACAACTACAACTGATGTTTGTTATTGACTAGATTTTTCAACCGTTTTAAGTAATGCAAAAGTATTTGGATTTTATGACCCGCTAAAACCATTAGAAAATAGTTATTCAGTGATAGATTTTATTAAAGATATTATCTTAATTATATTGGTAGTTCAAAGAATTTTTAATTTTCGACGAAATTAAGAATAAAAAAAATTTAACTCATTTACTAAAATAGTTGATATCAACAAACTTGAGAATGACAAAATTATACAACAGGAATTGAATAATTTAAGGAGTAACTTTAATTCAAAGGAACTTCGGGTTAGTATAATAATATTTGTGATTACACTAATGTTATATTAATATATATATTTTAATATAGATATTACTTTCAATTACATCATCAGATCTCTCGAATATTTAAATCTAACAACATATTTCGAACAATATGGATTTGATGGGGTATACCAAATTATTCTATTAATTCTATTCATCTGTTAATTCTTTAATTCTATTAATAATAATTTAACAATTGTATATAGATCAATATTATTTATATTTGTACTGACAGTCTTAATGGAACATTAGCTGATCTAAATACTACAGTGTATTTTGGCAATTGGAACAAAAGAGGATTACAATATATACAGTGAACGCATTTAAACAATATTCCTAGAATTCAAGAATATGTAAATTATACGATTATCCAAATAAGAATTTTAAAAATTATTATCTTTATATTATATTATTATTTTATTATTATAATTATTATCTTTATATTTTCTTTAGGCATTTTATCTTGATCCAGATGAGAATTATAGCGCTCCTCAAGATAATTATGATGTTACTTTCGATAGTTTATTTGATCAACTTGAAGTACTTAAAACAAATTTTACAAAATTGATTTGGGGATTTGATCTCAGTGGAATTATGAAAACTAATTCTGGGTCAATAACTATATTAATAAAAATGATGATACGTGTTTAAACAATAATAATTTTTCTATTTGGCCATGGAAAGAAATAAGGAATACTGCATTAACGGATATGTGTGTAGCTAATAATGATAAGAGTTGTATTCGTAATTTTGATACTAATACCAACTCTACGATTCTTTCAAAACTCAATGTATCTTTTGCTTACGAAGATCCTGAATCTTTATATCATAAATTCAATTAGGCCAGTAATAAATTTGCTGGAATATCAATTGTAAATTTAGCATTTGATTCAATTAATAATAGCGTATTAAAATTTATAAAATCTGGAGATAATGGAAGTATCGGTAACAAAAATAAGAATACAACAAATGGTGATGATGATGATAATAATAATAACAATAATAATAATAATAACAATAATAATGATGATGATGATGATGATGATAATAAGACGAAGACTAATCACAAAAAAGTTATTATTGGGATTGTTATTGGAACATTGTTTGCTTTGGTATTATTAATCGGCTTTTTTTATTGTTCAAAGAGAAGAAAGAGAAATTCAGTAATTGAATTTAAATCTATAGAAGATAGACATCATTATCTAGATCAACCAGTAGTTGCTATTCCACCATCACCATTACAACAAAATTCAACATCATCGTACCACCATAACATATTATTACATTATCCTCTTAGTAATTGTATAATTTGAATACTGGATATTGACTAATTGACGTTGAAATTTTTGACTTTGGCTCATAAATAAAATCTACTAGTAGAATTTTTAGTCAAGTTATTAAGAACATTCTCTGTTTAGAAATTATTTCAAAAAAAAAGAAGGTTCCATATGGAAGAAACAAGGTTAAAGTGCTTTTTCGAGAAGAACCATATGACCTTTTCGGTCATTCCCAATATTACGTTTACGACTCCCTCCATATTTAATAGATTTAATAGATCCACCGTTCATTCGATAATGCCGAGAATGGTCATCAAAAAATCTTTTAATTTGTGTAGTCATAATTTTGGTAAATATTTAGGAAATGTATACAATGTGTACAACGAAACACAAGTATTTAATATAACTAAAAATTTTGGCTTGTTAAATTTAAAAATAATACAATATTGAAATTTTTTTTCTATAAAAAAAATATAAATATGTCGGAAGAAACAGTCGAAACCACCGAAACTATTTTGTTTCTCATCTGTTTATATATTTTATTGTGATTTAATATCACAACTTAAAATGATAATAATTTTCTTACATAAAAAGAAAAAATTAATTAATTATTAAAATGAAAAAATATTTATTCTTATCACTTTACAAGTTTCTATTATATCTGTTTTATTTTTTATTATTAATAGTGGGAAAAAATGAAACATTGGCAAGTCTTTCCTCTAAAGTAGATAAAATAGAATATATTAAACGAGATACAACTGATGTTTGTTCTAGTCTAAATTTTTCAGATGTTTTAAGTGATAATACAAAAATATTTGGATTTTATGACCCGTTAAAGCCATTAGAAAATAATTATCCAGTGGTAGAATTTATTAAAGATACTAGAATTAATTATCTTAATTATATTGGTAATTAAGGAATTTTTAATTTTGATGAAATTAAGAATAAAAAAAAATTAACTCATTTACTCAATAATTATATAAAAATAGTTGATATCAACATTCTTAATAGTTCTGAGACTGACAGAACTATACAAAAGGAATTGAATAATTTAAGGAATAACTCTGATTTGAAGGTTAGTATAATAATATTTGTGACAATGTTTGTGATAACACTAATTTTATATTAATGCATATATAATATATTTTAATATAGATATTATTTTCAATTACATCATTGGAACTTAATTCAATTGATTTTACTACTAATCAAAATCCAATAAGAACAACGGCAGAAAGATATAATTTTAATGGGGTATATATACCAAATTATTCTATTAATTCTATTAATTCTATTAACTCTATTAATTCTATTAATTTAATATAGGTCAATATTATTAAGAAATGTGAAAGTCTTAATGATATATTATCAAGTATTGATAAAATGCATAACTCTAATTGGAACATAAATTTGATTACAACATTTACAGTTGACGTAAATGATAAGGAAACACCTTCACCTTTAAACAGTATAACTAACATTCTACCTTTTGTAGATTATACGATTATACAAGTAAGAATTATTATCTTTATATTAT